TATATATACTTTACCTATTAATACCATAAAGTATATATAGGCAACAATGAAAAGTTCGTACATATGTAGCAGTTCTTTTTTAGGAGGTTGTGTGTTGATCCATGAAAGTTTATGGTACCTTTTCGTACCAAGATGGCGCATATTAAACTGTCTATATGAACCCCTGTCCCAAAAAAAAATTTACCAAAATTAGTAGTCGGCACTCGTGCGTCGTGACTCGGCACATTTCCGAATTCCGACTGTCCGAGTCGTCTCGTCACTCGTCACTCGTCAGTTGGTCACCGATCACTATTTATATAGACTTATAGAGGGAGTCTGGGACTCTGGGCCCTGGGGCCCGTGGTGGGCACCGTGGCAATGGTGATTGACTGGTTGGTGAACTTGTGGTGCGATATGTAACTCGCCAGTATTTAGTATTTACATATTTACGTGCTGATTGTTATAGAGGTATGTATTGGCGTTTCCTTTTTTTGTATGCTGATTGCGGAGTCAGTATGTAAATAGTGAATGTTGTTTGTTCTATCTTTTTAAAAATACTAAAATCTATATTGTTTTTGTTTTTTCTAACAAAATTTTGGCTTCAACGAAATACCTTCATTTAATTCTTGAGCAAGTCTTGACTTTTGGACTTGACTCCTTGAGTCTTAAAAATATGAATACAACCGGTTCAAGTTAATTTTTTAAAACGTTCTGTATTTTGACTATTTTCAAGAGACTTTCTAGTAGTGGAGAGAGAAATAATATCCACAACGGACTATAAACGTCCGTAGGACGTATTTTTTAAAAGTTTTAGTATAAAGGTTTTTTTGTTTTAGAAAGTTGACCCGAAACCTATATATTTTTTTTGGTATTTGTTTTTAACAAAAAGGGATAAGTGAACAAAAAAGAGACGTATGTAGCCCTCGTGCGAACCTCATTACGTTTGCCGTCAAAACACAGAAAAAAGCGTTTACGTCAAAGTTTATCTTAAAAATAGTCCTATGGGTTTACAAATAGGTACATTTTCTGTGGCGGCCTAACTGTCACGAATTGCCCTATTTTTCACTTTGTGTCAGTTGTAAATAGTTTCAAATCGCCTTTTCATTAAAAAAAAAAGGTCAATTTCTCAGGTGCAAATTTGGAAAAATCAAGGTTGATTTGCCCCCGATATACTTTAAAACGCTTAAAAAATAAAACTTTTTGCGTTTGCGTTTAAAGTTTATCGCATAGACAAAACGTATTGAGCTTGGGTTTGAACCTCGTGGCCCAGACCTTGCATCCCAATAAATAAACGTTTATCGTATAGACGTATACATACATATTTTAAAAAATTCAAAAAAAAAAAATTCTAAAAGGTTATGAAAAGTATATATGTACATATGTGATAAAACATTTACTCTCGAGATCGTTGATGCTCATCTGAGCTGATATAAAAATTGATATGGTGTAAATTCAACTTTTTTCATAACACAAAAACGAAACACAAGACACCACTGACTAACAGTAAACAGACCTATGTTTTTAATATTTACAGTGTATTAAAATAAAATACACCACTTCCAAATTTAAACACCAGTACTTGATTTAAGAATTCCTACATATTTGGAAGGTTTCCGTACGCCCCTCAACCCCCAGGGAATCTTCACTATTATCACGAGATAAATTCACGGCTTAAAAATACCAAGCACGGTAACAAGCAATTCATACGTAATCGTATTATCAATTTGTTACGAACTACGGCGCGGTTCAAGGATATGTCCCGCTACACTATGCACGCAGGACAAATAATTTTGGTTGCGCTTTGTTTCGCTTGTCTAACTGGCGGTATGTCGACTAGGCGTAACACAGATGGCAGATATCCGTTGATAATTGATACAGACGTGGATATTGACGATATGATGGCGATCAAGTATATGCTCAATAACCCTAATGTAGATATTAGAGGGTTCTCCGTAGATGCCAACGGGTGGAGTGCGCAGATTGATGGGGTGCCGAATGTTCTTAGATTGGCCAAGCTTTACGGTCTGGAGAGCGTCCCGGTTGCGTACGGATTAAGCGACGGATACACCGAACTCAACTTACAAAATCCTTCGAACCTCCCCAACTACGATTACCTAATCGGCATTGGTAACTATCTGAATGAGTGGGTGCCCACCCCTCCATCAATGCAGCCGGCGTCAAGCCTACGGGCTCCGGATTTGATACTGGATCTATTCAAGCAAGCTAAAGAGAAGGGAGAGACGGTTGATATCCTTGCATTGGGTCCGCTAACAAACATTGCGGCAGCCATGCACAGCGATCGTGAACTGTTTCTGGACATCCTAGGGGCAGTGTATGTATCGGGTGCTAATGTGTTCACGCAAGCGGAACAGGCAGCGCAGGCCGCAAGTATGCCGGATGTGGCTTTCCCGTACAGTGAAAAGACCAAGGAGGGGTCGTGGAATATGTTTAGTGACCCCATTGCTGCCATGCAACTACAGCAGAGTGGGGCAAATCTGGTAGTTCTCTCCTCCTTCGGCGATAAAATAAGTATTGATGTAGATGACGATCAGTATATCCCCGAGGATTGTCCCCCGGCCGAGCGTGAACACCTGACTCAGTTTTATACACAGTATGGCCCGGCAACCAATCAAACTATATCTCGGGTGAAGTACTGGGATGCAGTAACTGCTGTGTGGATGTCGCAGATACTAGACTCGCCCGGGTATAATCCTAAGAACACGTCCAACAGTAAAAACTCCACCATTTGCACAGAATGGTCGGGACAGGTTGCACAGGTTGACCTGAACAACGGCCCCACATTCTCCTGGTTTGTTCAGAGCCCAGACTTTGGGATGGAATTTCCACTGTGTAATGCTACAGATGCTGTGGCCTTTAAAAGTACGTACTACTCGGGAATTTGCGCGGGTGTTGCAAACACGGCAGACGCGCAACGAGAACAATAAAGGGGAGTACAATGGTTGTGTGTGTGCACTATTTTATCATGGCAGTCTCTCGTGCGGTGGTTAGCAACAGTACCAATAATGTCTGTCGCAAGCATGCGTTAAAAAAATACATGGTGAAAATTGGTAGAGATATAAGCATACCATTCGGCGATACACAGATAAAAGGCAAAAAGAATGCATCTTATAACTAAGAATGATAATATATACACTTGTATATATGTATATTTATATTTATATATATACA